CTTCCCAGGAGTGGCCAGCCTAACAAAATTTCATCAAGAGCACATCGACGACTCATCCAAGAGGTCACAAAAGAACCCAGAAGAGCATCTAAAGAACTGCAGGCCTCACTTGCCTCGGTCAATGTATACAATTTCATCATGAGAAAACAAGAAAGATACTGGGCAAAAATGGCATCCATGGGAGAGTTGCAAGGCGCAGACCACTGCTGACCAAAAAGAACACAAAGGCTGGTCCATCAAGGACCACCATGACCCCCAAGACTTCTGGGATAATATTCTGTGGACTGGTGAGTCAAAGGTGGAACTATTAGAAGACGCAGGTCCCGTTACATCGGCTGTAAAGCTAACACCACATTCCACCATAACAATGTCATATCAACAGTCAAACATGGTGGTGGTAGTGTGATGGTCTGGGGCTGCTTTGCTTCTGCAGGACCTGGAGAACTTGGGTAATTGGATGGAACCATGAAATCTGCTCTCTAACATAAAATCCTAAAGGAGAATGTCCGAAATAGTACTGACACAAAGTACTGACTTTGCCAAAAATGTATCAGCGAATAAAATTAAAACTATGTTCTGTAATGAGCGATTGCAAGGATTTTTGGTACTTCACCCTCAACAGTGCATAATGACAATGAAGATTCAGGGAATTGGGAGAAATCTCTGTGCATAAAGGGCAAGGCTGAAAACCACAATACAATGTCCTGGACCTTCATTCCCCTCAGACGGCCCTGCATTAATCAGGAAAACTTTGACTAATCATTGTCAGTAAACACTGTTTGTTGCTGCATCCACAAATGCAAATTAAGACTGCAGAGGCCATACGTCCACAACGTCCAGAATCTATTAAGATGGTGTGGATTAATTAAGAAATAAAGAAATTGGTTCCATCTTAATTGCAATGTCCATTTTAGAATTCTGCCTATGAATTTGACTGCAGAATAAAATAATTGATAGCACTTAGTCTTTAACCTCTAGTCTAATGTGTCCACATTTTGAATGAGGCTGCTCTTTTCATCTCATACATTTTAATGAGACGTTTTAGGTCAGCAAGCGAGTCTCTGGCCTCTCTGGGCTACGACAACATAGCTATTAAACAACTACAATTAATGTCAAATTTGAGATGTAAGTCAAGCGTTTCAATTACAGAAATAATTTGCACATCATGAATATACAATGCAAATTCGCACAAAAGCAGACAAAAACACAAGGTTTTCTAGCAGAACCATAACCACAAAGAAACTCCAGCTATGGAGGGCTAAAAATTGCTCACAGTAAGACGGGAGATTTTGCAAAGACTAACACAAAATCAGAGAGTATTCATACACATGGTAATGACAGCCTTAATTGTGAGCAGGTGTCGGGGGAGGCAGTGTGCTGGGAACATGCTGTCAGTAATGCATCCGTGACAAAAATACTATATTTCTCACATATTTCTCTTTGATTATTCCTACTGTTGATTCGCTGTTTTCTGAACTACAGACTAGATATACTTAGTACAGATATATCTCAAAATAAATGCAATCCACCCCTTCCTCTCTGGAGCCTGTACGTGCCAAGAGTGCATTCTGGCAGGCAGCCATATAAAGAGACGTGAATGCATCTTAATGCAGCAGAGGAGAAGAAATTGATTACAACCCTTGGGTCTCAAATGATAGGCTTGCTCCATGCACATTCCTATGACCTTGAAAATGTGTGTAAAAAAAGAGATGGGCCATCATTTGCTTAATATTAAAGCTCACTATTCAGTTTTGTCTGTATAAAGCAGTGTGACACAAAACAGGCTCCAAAGGCCTTTAACACATAGATTGAACAAGGTCACATTTAAGAATGGCACTCTAACATCACAACACAAACAGAATCCTTCAGTGTCTTTAACGCCATTAATGGACCCACATGACAGCCAGGCACTCTCTCTGCTGATGTGACAGCTCCTAGTAGTTAACATGAATTATAGTTAAAGTTCAACAACTTTAATGTACATACATGAATCTGAGTTTTTCAAAATTTCTGCATAATTCAATCAATAAGGTGCAACCAAAAACATTCAGAGTGATCTGATGTTCTACACTCTCAGAAAAAAGGTACTAAAGTGTCACTGGTGCAGTAACCCTCTTGTCACTGGGGTGGTACCCTCAAGGGTACATAATTGTATTTTCTAAGTTGTATTGACTCCACACACCCCGTCTCATCTCCAGGCTTTTTATTTTATTGTTCTGTTTTAAAACATTAGGTTATGAAAAGGTACAAATATGTATTTTTCAAACTTAAAAAAAGGTGCATAATTGAACCTTAAAACCACTGTTGTACCTTTGAGGGGACATTTACATTGTTTGTACCTTGATGAACGAGAAACGTACCTGCACAGAATGTTTATTTCTAACAGTGTAGGAAAAATTACAGAGCCAGATGTCTGAAGGGTTTAGTACCTCTTAAAGCTACCTCATAAAAAGTTATTACATCAAATGGTTACAAGTACGCAGCCTGTTCCCTGAAGCTTTATTTTACAGTCGTTTTGCAAAACTATAGTTTTAAATATATGCAGGCCGGAAAGATACATGCAAGTAAAATAGGGCATGTAAGGTAAAATAGTTTACTTTTTTCATATTCACCACTATTTTACCATTAACATTAAATATAAAAAAATGAAGAAGACACATACATGTTCACTCATTGTTTCAGACAGAAAATAAAATGGCTATATTTGTGTTTTTGCGACCCTTGCGACCCCCAGTTCCCATCACCACCACTATGAAGATATCTTTGGTAAGTTTTGCTATAATGAATCTCTTCACGTTAAACTTCTCTAAATTGCTTTGTTTACTTTTCAAGTCTTGAATTAGGCTAAATTGTTTTTTTTTTATCTGCAAAATGTCCCTTTAATTGATCTTTTCACCCAGCTGTATACAAATAAGTAAATAATCATTTAGCAAAAGAAATGTAAATCTATTAACAACAAAGTAGCTTTAATTAATGATAAAAATGTAATGTGGGTACTATACTAAGATTACTGAAACTAAACTTGAATCTCAAATATATGGCTATATAACCCTATGGTTGCTGGCATTGAATGAACAAATCTATCGTATTTGCTTCTCCTTACCGTTCTGCCACAGGACTTTCCATACAGCTGTTTATGAAAAACACCATGAAATATGGCTGGGTTGTCTGAGAGGGTAGTGGAATATCTTATATATCCCACATGCTCAACAAACCCTTTAATGACCATTTATGGACGAGAGTCAGCAGTGTAACTACGGGGGAGGCAGGGGGCAGTGGCACTGGAACCCATGGCGCAGGGTGGGCCCCTGTCAACTGGGCCTGTAAAATCTTCATTGGGCCACTCATATAGATACTCACACAAATGTACACCAATGGCTCACAGAAAGATCCGATTTCTTTACAACATGACTCACCAGTTAACCTCCATCAACACTACGCAGACATCTCTGACGTCTGTTTACCTCCCTCTAACTTAAAATGCATCTCATCCATAGTAACGCTTTTCACACACAACATCCACAACCTGCAACATGATATATTAATTATTTACAATTCTTTAAAAGATTAAGTGAATAAATCAGTGAATCTAAAGATCTGAACAATTCCATTCAAATAATATAAAAATATGCATTTTATGAAGATATGTAAGTTGACTTTTCTGGAATCTACCTAACCTTACATGGCCAGTGTTGTATATGACAGCTAAGTATAGCATATAATTGTTGCAATCCAAATAGTGTAACATAAACAGTTAGTTAACTTTGGATGCTAGTGGGTGGAGGGTCATGCCTTGAAAACATCTACTTGATTCAGCCATAACTATAGTGGGTAAACAAGCAAATTACATTGTCATTTTGATAATTGAAAGTCATTTTAATATGGGAGGCCCATAAGTGTGTTTATGCCACTGATGAAAGTCCTATAATTGGCACTTTCTGTGAATAGAGTTCATTTTATGCCTCAAAATTATTTAAACATTACTTTTTTCTTTGGTGTTTTAAGTGCTTAACCTTCAGAAAATGTTTTTCCCACCTCAGGCTGTCAAATCAGTTACTATATGAGCTGTTTTCACCATGAATGACCTGGCAACAGGGTTGAAGTGAGTAACAGGGTGGAAAGCAGAGATCACATTCACCATTTACTTAATATTTTCATTTTTATTTAACATTTGAAATTTAATATTGTGAAAATGATTTTTATTTTATTTAAAATAATTGAAAGTTAAAAAATGGGTAACAGGGTTGCGAATTTAACCAGCTTTTAATTTAACTAGCATTCATGAGTGGTTAGCTTGATAAGGTGCTCATGTTACTAATGCTACTAATAACCATATAGTTTACATAAATTAAAAAATAAATAAATAAATAAATAAATAATAATAATATATATATATATATATATATATATATATATATATATATATATATATATATATATATATATATATATATATTTATATTCTTTTTTCTAACAATAATTTTGGTAATAGGGTTGAACTGTTAAGCTTAACCATGCAGCCAAATCAATTTTGCGTGTATATTGAGAAAACTGATTTGTCTTTCATAGAGAAGCTCAGTGTCAGTGAGGTAGGACAGCCCCCAAAATCACCATATTACAATTGGATACAGACATTTTAAGTGTTTTTGTGATCATTTAAATGCCCATTTTAATCATTTTATTTTAATTTAAAGTACAAACAACTGTCACTGTATTGCTTTTAAAAATGGAAAGTGTCATTCACGTCATCTTGGAAAATCTAGTCCCATGAGATCAGACACTCTAGCTGAAGCACTTGTTTTAACACTGCTGTTATTCCCCAATTCCTCAAACGTTTCACTTGTTTATTTCCATTCAAATAAACTTCACCTCAGCCTGTGTTACACCCCGCATCTCTCACTCTGCTCTTGCCTGCTCTGCTCACAGCGTCAGTTGTCAATCAAACGTATCAGGCAGAAATAAGAGCCAATGGGAGTCGTAAACGTCATGAGTGGGTAATACGTCCCGCCCCTGCGCTTCCACTCCATTTTCTTCCCAACATCCACAGCGGTAGCCTGCGAGCTTAAAGCAAGATGGCGGATAGACCAGGTAGGGTTGATTGAAGCTTCTTTCAGTTAATAAACTGAGCAGTTTGTTGTTCAGATGTTAGTCGTGTTAAGGTCGTATAGATTACGCGTTGAGGGCGGGCAGAACGGTCCTGTGTGACCCGTTGCTGGGCTTGTTTTAAAGAAAATATGAGCGTGTTTTCAGAAAAGGCCTCGGGAAGCTCAGTCGAGTCAGCTCAAGGACTTTCTGTGTCCCTCTCTCCTCTGCACTTCATTTCCACACGTCTGGACTGAATTGGCCATGTTTGAAATGCTGTTTTTATATTTAAGTATTCACATCCTTTTACTGCACGCTCTTTCATCGCTGACTTTACTCGGTTATAGTATTTTTATGTAGCCCTGCCGCAGTTTAGCCATATCACAGACTTAGCACTAGCACTAACTATCATTGAGGGACAGCAGCGACACACCTGTCAGTTACTTTAGTTACTTTTGTGCTCGTAAATGTTGGTCAGTCCTCCTGATACATTGACTGGAATCTGTTCATTACAAACAGTGCAGTGTGCAGTCTGGATTCAAGTGTGATCCTCACTGTAGTAGCCAGCCTGCTATTCGCGCCCGCGTACATGAGAGAGACTAGGTCTGTTGGAGTCTGACGTTTTGGACCTCATTTAACACCATTTTATTTTGTCAAGGTTAAGTTTAAGACCAGCCCGTGCAAACCGTTTCTTTGTTCTTTGAGTTTTCAGAAGTTTTGTGTGTGTGTATATGTATAAAATATAATATTACATATGAGTATGTATGCACATACACATAAGCCCTAAATAAAGCTAACTATGTATTTCATCATATTTTCTTATTGTAGTGCCCTTGGCTGAGAAGAGGCTCATGGATGTCAAGCTGGGTCAGTTGCCATCCTGGCTTGGCACAAGGGACTTCACCCCTAATGGACTTCTTGGCTCTGTTCGCAGAGGTAATGGGCCGTTTTATGATTATCTTTACGGTGGTGGTGATAGGAAACAGGGGTCACAGTATCTACACAAAGCCGTTTGCTGTCTGAAATGACCAGTGAACCTTCACATTTTCTGAGTTTTATACATTATGTTGATGATGTAAAATAGATGTAAATCTGAAAAAGTTTCCTTTGGGAACCGTTTTGCCCTGCAGCACCCTTCACATGCCTTTTGGTAATGAATGTGTTTTTTTTTATTTATTATTTTTTTAAAATACATTTTAGGCTAAAACTTCTCAAAACTGTTGTAAAGCAATGTCTCAGGCATCAAGCAATGTATTACTACAAGTAATGACTTTGTGATGTAGCTTTTAGAGGCATTTTATTTTTCAGACATCCAGTTAATATCATCACCACTGTGAAAAATTCAAACTCGGCAGGTTTCTCTAAAACGAAGCATTTCACATCTCACCACTCTGAGTGACTGTTTACATCTTAACAATTTAATTAAGCAGAGCTTTGGAAAAATCTGTGGAATTGAAAAGTATATGCTGTGGTCTCATGGATGTGTAAATCTTTCCCTTCAGGCTATGACAGATATTACAACAAGTACATTAACGTGAGGAAAGGAGGTATTGGTGGGGTTGCAATGCTCCTTGTTGGCTATGTCGCACTGAGTTACCTTTGGGAATACGATCATATTAGTAAGTAACAATTTAAGTCCATATTTTTTTTCCCCTCAAAAGGCACTTTTGCACTGATGCTAGGTTGGAGCTGTAATGTGTTTCCTTTCTTTACAACAGAGCATGACCGGTGGAGGAAGTACCACTGAACAATGGACCACCAAGACTGTCCGCTGCAGTGTGATCAGCACACCTTTAAGCTTTCTGTGATACGTGTATAAAGTAATTTGATGAGACCAAGAATTAAACTAAGATTATTAAATAAAACTTATGTAGTGTGTATTTTTTTCTGTGCCATTGCATTTTTTTAATATTTAAGATGCTTTAAGATTTTACAGGCCTTGTGAAGTTGCTGTTCTAAATATCAGCATACTTTATGAAACAGATTAGATGTTTTTGATGTCAGTCACAGCTTGGTTGCAAAGTGCTTTTACTATCACAACTGATAGTTCTTGAATGGCCATTTTTATTTACCAGCAAGTACAAAATGTATTTACACAACACTTGAATCCACTTCCATCCCTCTAACCTACCTGGACATCAAAAAAACTGTCCATTTCAAAGATTAGAAATATTCACAAACAACTTGAATTTGAGTGCCTACAAATGATCCAATTCTCAACAATGTACCAAAAGGCCAGTGCCATGTAGCCACAACTTAGACATGTACTCCACCCAGTACATCCTATTGATAAACATAATGAGTTTCCAGTTTTTTAAAAAGAATAAGCCTGAAATCACACTGTATTTACAATAGAAAAAAGTCTTACATATCAATATGAACTGCTCAGTGAGGAATGTGCTTCCTACAGCCCCCAGAATTTCTTTCAATCTGCAAACATATTTCACTGGGTGCTTGTAAAACTAGTATCCCACTCTCAAATGGGTGTTATCCCAATACAAAACTTTGAACTTAGTCATGTGAAGGATTTCTTTTATTCTTTTTTTTATATCAGCTCAGGCAGGCATTAATTATTTTTAATTCTACCTGTTGAAATGACATTGGCAGAGAACCTGATTTACCATCTCGGAGGACTACTCAGGACGTGTGCCTGGCAGAACCCACTACAGCCTTTCAAATAAAAGGCTTATGTACCAGTTCTCATACACCTTGTGAGAGGAAATTCCAGCAGATGCAAATGAATACTACTGTCCACTTAGGAAGGCCAGGTGTCCTTTTGTGCATTTGTTTGCATAATGCCCCTTCTCACCACACTGCAAAAAAAAAAACCAGAATATATAAAATAATTAAAGTAAAAGCACCTTAAGGTTTTCAGAGTATCATGTAAACAGCACAAATTATTTGTCCTAAAACCTAAGAACAGCAAATTGTTACTCAAGTGCATAGAAGCATTACCTTATAACATGTAACTTGGTCCAGGGGACGAGGGCCACGGGGGCCACCCATGTTGTTCTGAGTCTGCATCGTCCCAAGAACATGTGGCATTTTTTGATTGATGTTGACATTAGAGTTGGTGTTTGTTAACTGGATCAGTGATAACGATGATCTGTTCATGTTCTGTATGTTTTGCTATTGGGAGTACAAAAAAAATTAAATCATTAGTACTTTCAGCATTGTGGACACTGTTTGCTGAATCATACTCTTCTTGGGGAGAAAAAAAAAAAGGCTACCTTCTGCTGAGTCTGAGCTTGCTGAGGTAGTGGTGGCTGTTCAGTTGCACCCATAGGCAGCTCAAACCGTGGACTAAAAACAAGCGGTTGCAAGTTGCGTTAACACAATCAATGCTAGTTAGTTCATGATAAAAATGTGTCAAAATCAAGCATTTAACTGAATGAACTCACTGCATAAATTTGCATGACTTGCCCTCAGGACAGAAGCCGACAAGATAATTAACACAGATGACCCTTCTTGTGTGTCTGTGGCGGCAATCCGGACCTTAAACCAAACATAGGAGAAGGGGACAGTTTAAACACAATGTATTTTATAAACACAGGTACTCCTCTTTTCTAAAAAAAATTATCATAACATCTGGAAAGTGAAATCATCTTTGTTACAATATGCAGGTAATATTTACTTTTTAGTAAATACACACAAAACATACACTGTATTTGCACAAGTATCCAGACACCCCTTCAAATTAGTGAATTCAGCTGCTAATTGTGCACTCTTTGCTCATACAGACATTTAGTTGCGCAAAGACAATTGATAATTACCATAGAAAAGCATTTCCAATAGAATGGGACATTCTGGAGCACCCACACAAAGAGTCTAACGCTGCATTCGAATGGGCCGTAAACTGAGAAATGCCAATTTTCTGACTTGCACTCGAACAGCCGGCAAAGGTGTACAACAACCTTTAACCTTTTCTGCCAGTGAAAAACTGTGAATGTAAAAACAATATGTACCTGATGTACTTCTATGTGATCTATGTGCTTTTTAATATAACAAAGAAAATGCAGGTACCCTCAGGATCTCATTGCTTTCTGTTTACGTGTGGTGGGCATATCATTCAACAAGCGACCAAACAAAGTGAAATTGTAAATACTAGTTAACGACCTGGTATGTTAAACCTTTCGATAAGCACCCAAACGCACCATAGGGTCACCATGCCCATTGCCAAGAGTCAGCTGGAGAGATATAAAGCCCCCCCAGCTTTGGGCTGTGGTACAGAGGAACTACATCCACAGTGATGGAGCTCCAACCAACCATTGTGATCAGCTGGAGTGATCATCCAACATCAGTACATGACCTCACTAATGCTCTTGTGGCTGAATGCAATCAAGTCCTTGTAGCAATGTTTCAATAATTAGAGTAAAGCCTTCCCAGAAGAGTAGAGGCTGTTACTGCAGCAAAGATGGACAAACTCCCTCTTAACACCCTGGATTTTTGAAGAAACATTGGAGGAAGGTGTTTACAAACTTGTGGACTCACAGGGCCAGTTTTGTGAACATGGATTTAAGCAAAGTCTGGACAAAATTAAAGTGCAAAAGCTTAGGCGTAATCTGTGTCTGGGAAACTGGTTCATAGTGTGTGTTCATTGACCATACACTGATCAGCTATAATATTAAAATCACCTCCTTGTTTCTACACTCTGTCCATTTTATCAGCAATACTTACCATATAGGTGCACTTTGTAGTTCTACATTTACAAACTATAGTCCATCTGTTTCTCTGCATACTGTGTTAGCCCCTTTTTAACGCTGTTCTTCAGTGAAACTTCAGGACCAAGAAGGTATTATTTAGGTGGTGGATCATTCTCAACACTGCAGTGACACAGACATGGTGGTGGTGGGTTAGTGTGTTGCACTGGTACAAGTGGATCAGACACAGCAGTGCTGCTGGATACGTCAGTGTCACTGCAGTGCTGAGAAAGATCTACTACCCAAATAATGCCTGCTCTGTGCTAGTCCTGTGGGAGTCCTGACCATTGAAGAACAGGGTAAAAGGGGGCTAACAAAGTATGCAGAGAAACAGATGGACTGTAATTGTAGAACTACAAAGTGCTCCTATATGGTAAGTGGACCTGTTAAAATGGAGTGAGTGCAGAAACAAGTAGTTTTAATGTTATGGCTGATCAGTGTCTGTCCACTACTTTAGAGAAAGAGACTTACCATGCTTGCAAAATCCCCTGTCATACCATGGACAGTCTTTGATCTTAGATTCTGGGTCGATGTGCAAGAAGGGGCATTCTTTATTACTGCATTCTCCTGTAAGAATACAATTAGTCAGTCTATGCGTATAATAAAAACAAGGAGAAAGCGTGAGTAAGCATATGTTAAGACACTGACCGAATTTGGAGTAGAAATAGCACTCTGGCATCTTTGTCATGTCATACTCGTGCAAAAATTCGCACTGGTCTCCTTTCTTGCACAAACCCCGAAGCCAGTGTTTACACACGACGGTCTTTTCTCCACTAATGTGCCTAAAAGGACACATCCCACCTTCGGAAAAAGAAACATCAACAGTCCATTTTTCTGTGCACTGTTAAAAATATGTAGCTTTTAAACTTAAAAACTAAGTAACGGGGTTAACTTGAAACTTTAAGTTCATTGAGCTTGTAATATTAAGTTAACAGAGGAATAATTTGTGTTTTTGTTATTATTTGAAGTTCAATGAACTCAAGAATTCATGTTACTCTGGTAACTTTCTTAACTAAAAAGCTGCAAATTTTTACTGTGTAAGTGAGGAAAAATGTAAAAGTACTTCTTGCTTTCACTTTTTCACACAACTTACTCAAAACTTTTACTTAAGTGACTTTAAATTTACCTTTCATACAAGCAGCCCTCATGAAAAACTCACACACAGCAGCGCCTGACTCTGTAAAGAGAAAGTGAGTATTACAGTAACTGTTAGTGTACCACTGCAATATGCAGTGAAAAAAACAATACTGCAATAGAAACTGCTACAGTTGAAAATAATGAGCAGACTGAGTAACTTAATATTAGCTAGCTATGATTAAGAATTTCATCAGTTCTACGTGCTAATTCAGCTTCATCAGTTAACTTACTATCCATTCCTGGAAACGGCAGCGGTTGAGCGCCTAACTGCTGTTCAACAGCAATTTCCAGATCAAACTTTATGTGATCAACGCTGGCAATTAGTTCCTGCATGTTTGTATTTGTTTTTTATCCCGCTAACGTTAGCTAGGTTAAATAACATACAGCAAGAGTTTAGCTAACTGCTTAAAAAAACTTCGACCAGCACTAGCTAGCTAAAATGCTATGCTAGGTTAGATAGCTGACAAACTTGATACCAAGCTAAGTAATATTCTAGATCAACGTAAGCTAACAAAACGCTAAAATGTGGAGAACCGAAACAGCCCCCTTTAGACACAGCAGTTTAATAAACCACACAGTACAGCCGGAGCGCGCTAATAAAAACAGCGGCGCGCTTCAGGTCTTCCTCTCACACTCAGAAGCCTGCTCCCCTGCAAGGACGTACAGTCACCTACAGCACAATCGAGCGAATCGGGGACGGTTCCAATTACAAGTGGAAAGGGTCGTGAACCAATTCGCATTTATTTGTTGTTAACTAAACAACACAAGTGCTCAAATGTTTGATAAGATTTTCGTCATATATTAATGCTACTGTTCATATCATTAATATGCTGGGAGACAAGACAACGGCGATCTGACCCTGTCAGAATTTCTGCAATTGATTAAAAGGTCTTCGTTGAAGTACATAAAGCCAAAGCACGTTTTTGGTCAAAAAGTCTGTTTATAAATTCTCTAATTTTGCTTTTATTAGCATAATAATATGAATTTAATAATAAAATGAATTTACCTAATGCAGTGTGTCACTTTGCCCTGCTGGAAGAAAATTTGAACCATTAGGATTAAATTCTGATGTCATTTTTTTCCATATGGATTTGACTTACTGGTTACTATTTGAGACCACTAGTTTCCTGTAGGACACCTTTAGATCCCATAAGGAATACCTCTGGAATCAGAACACCTGTTAAACCATTAGATCTCGTTTACACTGTGACATCAACCCATCAGGAAATCACAGAACACCATTAATGACTACTGGACGCCACTAGAACCAGCAGGAACTTTTAATGGTTTCTATGTTTTTTTTGTTTTATTATTATTATTATTATTATTATTATTATTATTATTATTATTTTAGCAGCGTATTCTGAAAAAATCTGAAAGGAGACACAGTAGCCCCAAAAAAGCATTTGGACCCTTAACCATTTCAAGTATTATTTATAACATATTTAGCAATTTTTTTTTTTCACAGAAAAACACTTTTAGCATCAACATCAAACTGTAAACATGCAGACGTCTACAAAGAAATTGTGATGATCAAATGATAATGATTTGAAACAAACCAGCTGCCTTTTGAAAGAATATTTTGCCTACAAGAAAATAGCAGGTTAAAAGTTTGGCATTTTGTTTCTGGAATAAACTTAATACAATTTTAAGTATGGCACAAATATCACTGTATATAACTGGATGAAGTTTCATATTGTTCTCTGTAGTTTTCAGCAATAAGATAATACAAAAGTAGTTCAATGTGTTCATTACTTTTGCCAGTTTTTTATACATAAGTGCAGATTTCCATAAAGACTGCACTTCTCTTTACAGCCCTTTATAGAGAAACTGTCATTTTCTTTATATCTTTAAAATGTATGTGAAAATGCAGGTAAAAACACCTGAATTTGAACTATTGAAGTTGATGATCCCTGACTTCACTTCTTTTCTTTCTGTCCTCTTTAGAAACCATTCTTAGTTTTTTGTATACTTTAGTTTGTATTGCCTGGATGCTTCATATAATTATTTGTTGCTCCAAAAAGGTTTTAAAAATTGCCTGTCAGAAATACAACAGCAAGTTGTCATTTGCAAAAGTTAATAATCTCACATTATAAGTAGGTCATTTTGATTATTTGAGCATTTTTTTGTCCTAAAACATACTGCAGAACTGCTGATGTGAAGCTCAGTCAACACTCCATTCTTGCGTTCCTCAGAGGCAGACTAACTGAATGACCGCATTTGATTGTGCAGCATTAGCTGTGAGTTTTGTAAACTCTGTCATTTACATTTTCACTGGAGTGTTCATTGTGAAATGTAGAATCTCACAAATGTTATGTTTAAAATGCAGGTTTTAACCCCAGCTAATGACACCAGTACTGTAACTTGGATCAACATCCGCTGCTTGCTTGGAAACAGAGGTTAAAACAAAGGCATGTGAAGTGCAAGCTGTATGACTGAGAGAAAGGCAGTGTTTCTGCTAACTGCTCCACCAGCAGGTTTGCCATTCAGCACACTCAGCAAAGCCTTCAACCAGCATTAAGACATAAAATACCAAACTGAAATAAGGTTACCTTGGAACTTGCAGTTTTGAACAGATTACATTTTTACTCAATCTTTGAGCTTAAGTAACAGTTTCTAATAGTTCTTTTAACTTCTTGAAATGTTAAAAAACAAATAAAAACAAACCAAAGCATAATACTACAGCATCCCGTCCAATGTCTAATTCAATTCTTACTGTTGGCTGCTACGGTACTTCTTCCAATGAATGCCTAAAAGTAAAAATGCCATAAAAAACAAGTATAAAAAGCATGTAATCAGTTATGTAGCTATGTAACTGAGGTGTGTTCTGCTGAAGGATGAACCTCCATCCCAAGTTTACAACAGACTGTAAACATTCTCAACATTCTTATTGTCTTGTAATTGCAAGTTTGAAAAAAAAACAAACACTAAAAACTGACAACAGTTCATTTATTTTACAAAGAGAGGAGCAAAGTAAAGAGTACATTTTAAAGACGGTGTAAAGATGAATAAAAAATCAAGTTTTCACAAAATACACAAATAATGATTATTTCTACAATCACGTACAGGCAATCTGGAATGAAAACCCACAGACTTCTTAAAAACAAATATGTCAACATGTAATGCGCCCTAACATCCCAGAAATGGCAACAGAAAATCTTGATCATCCAGAGCATCCTCTGCATCCACAGTGAGTGCACTCAATGATACGACCCTGTTGGGAATAAAACAATAAACCTGTTAAACATGCAGGACATGACATGCTAGAGTGCCTGTTATTGTTAAACACAACAGTGTCTGTTCATAAAAACAAAATAATGATAACAGATTATTATGATAATATTAGCAATAACCCAAAGTGGGACAAATAAAAAAACCAAAAAAAAACCAAAAACAACAACATAATGTTAGAGCAGGAGTGCATAACACCCGTCCTGGAGGCCTGGTGTCACTGGCCCTCCAGAACTGGAGTTATGCAACCCTGCGTTAGAGGCTGATAAGCCATGTGAAAACAAGCTGACTTACCACTTCAAGCTTGCTTTTAGGCACTCTACATATGCAGTTGGTTCCGAAGTTGGTGTCACGTGTCTGAATGCATCGAAGACAGCAGAGATTTTCATAGCCCTGCTTCTTCCACTTCGCTATTAGATTCTTGTCTGCATATCCTTCTTTTATACAATATTCATAGAGCTCTGGGGACCAAATGCGTTTTAAATTAATCAACATATATTAACCAACCATACAATTAATTGGTAATACTAATTGATAGTGCTGGGTGATGTAAAATGCCTATATCAGTATACTGTGATGTTGCTTTGCAGTTTTAGTTATTTTTGATAAAAATTGAGCTTTATATCAGTTATATAAAGCTCATAGACTGTGCTATTTCTGTTGATAAGTGGTATTTTTCTAATTAAGTTATTAAGTTTTTATTTATATTTATTGCACTTTATTCATGGTATCCCGGCCAAGTTAACTGCAGTGTACATAATTTGCCTGGTGCGTGAGATTGTTTTGTTAGAATAATGAAAAATGAAAATAGTAGGTTTTCATACTGTAAATCTGGTTTTCTGCCTGTTTTCTTTTGGTGTAATTTTAAGAGAACATAACAGTCCACTCAAATTAAGCTGAGAAAAGTTTAGCACATAAAAACTGCACTTAGGAAGCAAGCTTATTAATTCTACCGATTTTTCAAAATTTCTGCATTATTTAGTCAATGAGATGTAAACAGAATCATTCAGAGTGGTGTGACGAGACTAATTGCAGAGAAACTTAACTAAGATTTTCTTTGCAGTGGTGGTGATAGGAACCAGGGGTCATGTTGTCTACAATATTAATATAGCCATTTTATAACATTTTTATAAATGATTAGTGAGCCTACACATGCCTTTGTAGTTTTTATATGCATCATTGGTAAAACAGCGGTAAATCTGGAAAGAAAAGTTTTCTTTGGGTAATATTTTTTAGAGAACACTCTGCATGCCTTTTTCTACCATAATTGGATTAAAAGAAAGCACTATCGCCCAGCACTAACTGTTAGTAGCTAACTGGTCAAATTAAGGAGTGAAATTACCTCTGCTGATGGCCTTTCTTTTGTAGAAGAGGTCGAAAATGTAGCGGCTCCGCTGGTGATGAAGCCTGAAAATCGGCCACAGGGACTCGACTTTACGTTTCCCCTCATGCGGCTCTGTTTCAGCTGTGAATAACAAATTAACCCACATTTGAGCGACATTATACGTGGCTGGATAAAGGCCAGAACAATCAACTGTACAATAACTGGAAGTATCAAGAATGGGAAACGCAGGTTAGCTCATGATCGAGGCTGAAGTTGGCTTCCTAATCGCCACCTTTTATTCGAATTTTCCCGTTCCACCTTAAAAGGTGCCACTCGAACAACAAGCGGGCGAATAAGAGGCCGATTCAGCTTCGTGTTCAGCTCGGGGGCTAAAAATATTCGCAAAAAATCCAAGCCTGAACTCACCTTCCCTCATTTTCTGATCCAGCTCGTCGAGAGTGGGCTCGATCAGCTCCCAGCCGTCTGGCGGTGGCTTCCTACTTCTTTTGACTTTGGGCATCTTCTTAAATTAACACAGATCTTAAATAAAACAGAGAAAATCTCTGTTTGTAGTTCAGAATCCACAGCGCTCCGCTCCGGACTCTCCGGTCCCTTTTAGTTGACGTCACTGGAGAGGACCTATTTCTTTTGCTATAGTTCGACAATATACGTAAGCGGGCTGTCCTTCCTAAAAATCACAACAAATCATACTTCACATATCTGACATATGTATACTCTGAAAATAATATAGTACCATACAGTAACATCTCAGTAAAGGCACGTTTATAAACAGGGCTCATAAGAGTCTGGCGTGTTGCTCCCTGTTCTGGTATATTGCATCAGGTTAGGAGTCCCTCTCAGTGCCTGTCTGAGGAGCGATAGCATGGCAGCCTACCTGACTGATTTCTAACCCAAGTCTCAGTGTTCGCTGATTTTTAATTTTGTATTTTAAACAGAAAAAAAAATTAGGATCGACCACATTTGTTTTCTACTCTCGCGTATATTGTAGTAGTTGATCGTCTCCGCTCACAGCCAGAGTCGGTATATGATACTTAATGTTAGCGTGGTAGCAACTGAGCTAACGAGCTTTAGCCATAGCTTTACTTAACAGCTTGTTGAGCTTTTTGTGTAGTCAAAACTGGGACTGTGTTTACACCGACACTTTTGGTGACTTTTTGGTGAAGTGCTTGTGACTGTTTTATCGCCGCCATGCCTAAAGGAGGTAAGATGATTCTCTGAACAGTCGGTACAGTCAGCCTGACACAGCTGGTTAACAGGAACCGTTCAGCACGCAGGTTGGCTGGATGATGGACGTTTATCTGCGATATTATCGGCTTTAGGGAAGAAGCTGTGATATTACTTAGATCTACATTTATGTATTACTGGTGGGCCGATCATGAGTTTATATGGCTGATTACGATTTCTTTACAGCCAGCTGGTTTTTATTTTCATTTTAAAGGCAAGTTTATTTATACAGCACCTTTCATACACTGCGGTCCTTCGAAGTGCTGTACAAATGAGAACATACAAAGAAACTTCAAGATTCAAATTTAAAAAGATGTTGGGGGTTAGAAATAAAAAAAAAAACATGATTAAAAGTGATGATAAATAATAGATTTTAAAAAGAAATAAATATTAAATTAAAAATCGAAAAAATAGATTAGGATAATTAACGCAATGCTTACATTGTGTGGACTAAATACACGAAACATACTAACACTTTTTCAATACGTTGTTAAATGAAATTGTAACATTATAACATATTTAACATTATATAACATTATTTGCACTTTAATGGACCAAACTATTATTTGAAATTTCTTAAAAATCAGTTGTCTGTTTAAATGAGATGAATCAAAAGTGCTATATCGAAAGTAAGAGGCAACTAACTATTTAGCATAATTGCTAGCTATGCTGGCTGTGATATTTCAGTACATGTGGCAGCAGCACTCAGATAAAGCACAAATGTACCTGCTTGCCTCAGATTATTCACATAAAAATTTCATTAAATAAAAACACATACATATAGGTCGAAATAAAAACAATAAATTGACAGATTGCTGATCGCTTGTTAGGAGCAGAACATGACTTATTCCAGATACTTACCACTTTCCACGTCTCTGCCTTATCCAAATGAATAAGTAATGTTTCTTCAGCTTTTATTACGATCTCAAGAGTTACAAGCATGCAGTGTTAAAAAAATATGTATTTGATCCAAGTTTTCTGTTTTCAGGAAAGAAGGGTGGACATAAAGGTCGAATGAGAACATACACAAGTCCAGAAGAGATAGATGCACAAATGAAAGCTGAAAAGGAACGGAAGAAGGTAAGTTACGTTATAATTTATTATCCAAAAAGATACGTTTCCTTTAAGAATGCTTATGTGATACCTGTGTATTTGACATATCCAGTTCTAGAAAACATATACATTATTATATTTTGTTACAGACTGAAGATGAAGAAGAAGGAGCAGCAGTGAATGATGATGACCAAACAGAGGACAAACTTGCAGGATCAGGCTCAGAGGACAGTGATGATGACGGCTCTCAGGTAAGCTTTTGATCCATTGTTTAGTTGAAAAGGCGGTCTGGCTTTGTCCCTGCTGGTTTGGTGTTGCGTGGTCTCTACTGTAGAAGGGGCTATAGACTGACCCCTGTCGTTGTTAGGGGATTAGAATGATCTATAATCCTTACATTATAATCCTTAGCATACAGTATTTTTGTAGTCCCCCATCATTAGTGTCCGAAGAACATCAATTACAGTTTCTCTGTGTGATAGAGTATCTGATAGGGTATGTTTGAGTATTCAGCTTTCTAAAGACTGATGTTTCCTGTGCAGTACATTTTATCAGCACTTGTACCTAGTTTGTCCTCTGTTGCTCCCACAGTAGTTGTTCAGTAAGTGGAAAGAAGGTAATTATTGTATAAATAATTGTGAATAACGTTTTGTTCATTTAATGCTATATGGTACAACTCCAAAGCAGCTAAATTGGCTTATCAGCTGTCTTGCTTAGCTGGCTCTTTACTTTGCAGCTAACCAGATGTGATATGCTGCACTCTGTGTAACATTTGTCTACAGTTAGTCAACCAAAGCTTACATTTTTCATTTGAGACTATGAAAATGTGAGCACAAAACTCTGCAAACATACATGCTAAAATTAGCATTAGCTATACCAGTTATCAAATTAAACAGACATTCACCCTAAATGTGTTATAGCACACACAAAGTAATTGCTTTGATTTTCATTTATTTTGCCCTAATCAAAATGAAAATGCATCCGGCTCAAGTTTTGCTTGTTGTGACCAGATGATTGTGAAACCTAATGACTGTGGAAAAGAACTGTGGTCAGATTAAATAACTGTGATTATCTCAAATAATTGCGATCAGGTGTTTATGTAATAATTGCGACAGCCCTAATCCTTTCTTGTACTGTTTCTTGATTATATGGAATAAAATCACTTCAAAACATCATTTTCAGCTTTCAGAAAGTGCGTTGACATTAGCAACAGAATGGTCAGCCACAGTCAGCAGTGTCTCAAATGCCTGCTGTGTCAGCCTGACAAATTGTCTTATCTGATGATTTTAAAATGTCAGTATGGTAGAGAAAAAGCAAACAGCCCTTCCCCCTAGTCAAACATTGCCTTTGATTGTTTTCCCCCCGTTTGTCACAGAAAAGAAAAGGTGTGGAAGGTTTGATAGAAATCGAAAACCCTAATCGTGTCGCTCAGAAGGCAAAGAAAGTAACAGAAATAGAACTGGAGGGACCCAAGCAGCTCTCCAGAAGAGAAAGGTAAGCACTGCTAAAGTGGATGAAGTGAATATTATAAGTGGTGGAGAAATATTTATTAGTTCATGTTTCATTGTGTTTTGAATTGTTACCTATTGTTTCCATTAATATCTGCTGTAGTTATGTAATATGTCTTGTTGAATGTCCTCATATGCAAATATGCATGCTGAATATTTCAGAGAGGAAATAGAAAAGCAGAAGGCCAAGGAAAGATACATGAAGATGCATTTAGCTGGAAAGACGGATCAAGCCAAAGCAGACCTTGCCCGGCTTGCCATAATTCGAAAACAACGTGAGGAGGCAGCAAGGAAAAAAGAAGAGGAAAGGAAAGGTAAATTAACTATTGAACACATTTGTTTGCTCTGGAACACAAATAGATATTCTTACTGTAATGTTAAGGTTTTTATTGATTAATGATTTTTTATGTTTTTGTGTTTTTTTCCCCACTCTAGCAAAAGAAGCTGTACAGGCGGCAGCGGCAGCAGCAAAAGGACTTCATACATTGTCCCTAAAATAATACAGAGTTAATGAAATAAAACAATCTGAAAGGTTTTAATGAACTTGTGGGACAGTGCAGTATACAGTATCCATTAATAGGAATATTTATGCATTCTGGATGCTAACCTTGAAAGTAGGCATTTTATAGTTGATGCTGAAGATTGAGACTCCTGAAGAAAGGTTAGATGTTTTCACCAAAGTGGCTAACTTACAATGCCTAGTTATACTCCATGATACTAGATATATATATTTATTAACATACTGATTCATGTGGGAGTGAATTTTCTAACTGCTGTCTCAGAGGGAATTATTGTAAGATGGAAAAATCATGATAATCAGTTTTTGTTGCAATGGGTTCAGTGGTATTAAAGGAATGTCCAGGGGATATGTGTAAGTATGTATTGGCAAAGATAAATATCAGTAAAAATATCAAGTTTCCTGCTTTATTAGGGTTATACTCTCAGTGTTGAATCTCTTTCTTCTAATATACTCATTAACTTGTTTATTAACCTGTCATTCAAGAAGCTGTTCTAGAGGACCCAGTATATATAATTGGTGACACTTAGATAACTACATTAATACATTTTATATATTAATATGTAGCTCTGTGTATATAGTCTAAGAATTGTTATACCATGAGCATCTAGTTTCTAGTAGGTGCCCAACAAAATTTTCACCTCAGCCAAACATTATGGAACAGGCTAATTGAGTGGGGAGTTTGTGAAGGAAAAGACAAACATTGAGCCATGCATTTGTAATGTGTAACCAGTGAACGTGGCCCATTATGCAGAGCAGCCTTAAATGTAGAACAGCTTGACTGTGTAAGCAAAATGTCGTGCTGGTGCAGAAAAATCATAACAGGAAATAGTACTTACTGAACATTGATGCATAATAAACAAAGAACATTCATAAGCTTATGTATAAACAAAAAGTTAAGAAATAAAGAGTTGTAGGAATGTATCATGTGGGTGATTTACAGTTATGCATTAATTATGCATTGAAGCCTGTTACAGTCAAATGTAGGGTTAGGCCTCTTGTCCAAAGACTCTTTACTGCTATAGTGTGGTGTGCTTCCCCCACAAGAAATTGAACCCCAGTGTACCACCTGGATTGTCTCGCCGGCACCAGACGTGATCTCGTAACAGAACGTCTGGGGACAACCATGGAAATGTTGGGCAAAATATGAAATGTCTAAATTTGGGGTGGGTTTTACTTTAACAGATGTTGCTGTGAAACTACCACATGGAGAGCAGCAGTATTACCAGAGCCAGTTTAAAGGGGAGCCACTTCCAATTTCTCCCATTATATCAAACAAATGATGGCAAAACAGCAGAGGGTGCCTGTGAGTGAGTCCTTGTTGAATGTGGGTGGGTAGAGCTAAATGGCTAAAAATAAAAAAATACCATTTTCTTACCATTTCTGCAGGGGCATCCTTTAATTTTGGAAAGTATAAGGGTCCATCCCATTTTAAAAATGAAAACTGTATCTTTATATTTTTTTATAGCAAACAGATTTTGTGCAGTATAACCCTAGCATTACTGCTACTGAGTGCTGATTGGTTAGCATTACTGCTAGTGAGTGCTGATTAGTTAGCATTACTGCTACTGAGTGCTGATTAGTTAGCATTATTGCTACTAAGTGATGATTGGTTAGCATTACTGCAGCTGTGTACTGATTGGTTGGTGGTTGGTTTGCTCTCACTGATGTCATAAACGTACAGGAGACACTGTTAGAAAGTCACATAACTTGAATTCAAAAGCATAAAAAGTGACAGCACTGTTGAAATATTGTATACTGTTCTGTTTTCAGGAAAACTACATTTTCTTATATAAAAATGTTTAAGCATTTACAACCTATGTTTATATGAACGCTCCATATTAACCCATTCATTTTGGACTCGCTCAGGAGCGCCCCCTAGCGTTTCATCAACCTGGCAGACACTGCTGCGTGGCAGCAGAGCCGGTTTGTGGGAGACCTGGCCACGTCTGATTGCTCCCGTTATATCAGAAACATGAAACGAAAACGCCAGAGGGCACCCGCGAGTGATTCCTCAATGAATGGGGACGAATGCTAAACGGCTAAAAACGAGTTAAAATAGTCTCTAAGCACTTGTTTAGGACCTTCCCTTAATTTTGGAAGGTAGAAGTATTTCACTAAACACAGAAGACATTACTGACTGTCAATTCTGACTACACATTCTTTGATGGCAACTGTGCACACACGATATTCTCTGGGATTACCTGCTATGCTATATCACTTAATTTGTTGAAAACAAAATGACAACATTGTATTGCCACATGAATAATGTGGTATATATTGTTCACTTGTTTTACCTCGGCATAAAGTATTATTTAGCATTTGTTTAATCTTTTATTGGAAGACCTGCTTTTATAAAATCACTTGTTACCATAATTTTGATTTAGAAAAAAAAATCTAAATATCCAATTTTCAAAAAGAATAATATTATTATAGTAATAGTAATAAAATATCTCCAGTAGCCTGCCTCGGGTTTCGAGGAACGTGACAGCGCAGAGAAAAAAATGTCACGGGTTTAAGAGGCAGCGCTTACGTTTGACGTAATGATCACGCCTCCTCTATACTGCGATTTGCTCCTCGCTTTTGATTGACTGGTCCTCCACCTCCGGGCTCTGATTGCTCCCTCACTTTCGCGGACTTTGGGCACAAATAGAAGTTGGTGGTTACGTGCTGCAGGTTGTAACCTGTCAACGAATAGATAAGAACTTCTTCACTGTATTCTAGTCACAACGGTAAGATTTTCATTTTCAGTGCATGTTATGAATGTTAGCTGCACTCAGGAAAAGCCTTATTTCGGTGTAACACTGATATACAGCCCAGTAACGTTACACCATTCTCTGAAGTGTCCGCTAGTTGCATGTTAACCATATGCAGTTGAATTACCACATTGTTTTAAATTAATATAACTAGTTAGCTAGTAATAGAGTGTGTTATTCCGGTTGATTTGAGTTAACCGGCTTAAAACAGCGTTTAGCTGTCAAGCGTAGCCTGTGTAGTTCTGAATAGCAGGCTAGCTTTGGGCTAAAGTCATGACGGGCGGTGAAAAGTAAGTTAGGCAGATTTCGCGGGTAACGTTCGCGTGAACAACCTTGCTGTGGTATCTCGGAATCCGGTAAACGCTGTTTGCTGTAGCTCTCAATTTTAAATGACAAAACCGGGAGTACATTTCCTCACATACCTTTAAACCGCTGCTTCAGAGCTAACGTTAATCAGTGTCATGAGGCTGATCTGTACCAGGCAGCTACAGCTGCCTCATGTTGAACAGGGAAAGGAGGCCATGACCGATCAAATGGCTCTGTTACTAAACTCCAGTCTTGACTGGACGAAGCTGAAGTCGGATTCCTATTCGCTAGTTAGCTACTTTCCCCGCCAGCTACATTTCCGCCTTAAATGGTGAAGCAGTTACATCCTGGCGCCAACTTAATAAGTAACGTTAAGTAGACCTTTCTAACTCGGCCTTACTATTTTAAAGAGCTGAGTCTAATCCCTGGAAAAATTCACAAAGTTGCTTGCTGGAAATTCCTGTCATAACGAAACTAAAGTCAGCTAAGTTACTTATTCGCCAGCTTCTTGTTCGAATAGTCCCGTTCCACCTTAAGTGGTGCAGCCGGTACATTTTGGCGCCTCAGACTCTGACTTCAGCTTCGTCTTGACAGGAATGTCCAGTAAGGAAATTAGGCTGAGCTCTCTAAAAATTTAAGGCTGAGTTAAAGCGATTTACTTATTTGCTGACCTTTACAAGGAAACGTACAAATTAATATCCTCTGCATTAACACCTTAAACACCAATTTGATTTTTTTTTCTCTCAGTCTCTTAATGTAGATACACCGACTGTAGACTACACTGTTGTCATCTGAACTTGATGCAGTTCATTAATTTGTTTGAAATGTGTTTCTTGAATATTCATTGAAATGGGCTGTAATTGTATTGTGCAATGTTATTGATCCTGAAGTGTAAGCATGGCCCAGATCAACGGTTGTAACATTGACAATGATACATGGGAGTCACACAACAGAATGATGCAGGAACCTCTCAGCACCAATGATCCAGAGGTGAGTTACTGAGTACAGGATGCCTTGATTTAGGACTACACATTTTGTGGTTGCTGCATACATTGTATTGTCATTGATATCTAAAATCTGTCTGAACCTGTCAATAGGTGTTTGACATCATTAAGAAGGAGAAGAAGAGGCAAACGTATGGTTTGGAGCTTATTGCCTCTGAGAACTTCGCCAGTCGAGCTGTTTTGGAGGCTCTAGGCTCGTGCATGAACAACAAATATTCTGAGGGATACCCTGGCCAAAGGTGGAAATCCATGTTTTTCATGTCATTATGATTTTGTACATTCTAGTTCTAATATTCAGATCTTTGCAAAACTCCTATTAGATACTATGGTGGCACAGAACATGTGGATGAACTGGAGCGACTCTGTCAGCAAAGAGCTTTGAAGGTTTATGGCCTTGACCCAGAAAAATGGGGAGTAAATGTGCAGCCTTATTCTGGTAAGTTTGTGTTTTGGTGCCTCGAGCTCTACTCTGATCTGATGTGTTTCAAAGGTTACTCATAAATGTTGTTTTTCTTCTTCTCAGGTTCACCTGCCAATTTTGCTGTGTACACAGCCGTAGTGGAGCCTCATGGGAGGATAATGGGTCTTGACCTGCCTGATGGAGGCCATCTGACCCATGGCTTTATGACTGACAAGAAGAAGATCTCTGCCACATCCATTTTCTTTGAATCTATGCCATACAAGGTATATGGCTCTTCATTCCAAAGTGCTGATAGGACTCAACTTTATTACAGTTGCTGCTCTGTCTGGTGCATGTTGTGATGTCATTGTCAGTGTGTTGACCACATTTAATTGTAGCTTTTTAATGTTTTCCTAGGTCAACCAAGAGACTGGCTACATTGATTATGACAGACTAGAGGAAAATGCTCGTCTGTTCCATCCAAAGCTAATCATTGCAGGCAAGTGTTATCTCTGGAGAATTTTACGAAGACAAATTACAGAGATAGAAACATTATTTTATGAGAGCAAGACAAAGTAAATAAGATGGGTAAATGCAGATGGCACAATACCACTTCTTCTTTTGCAATACTGATATAGAAACCTTGAGAATTGGCCGGTACCACTCCAATATTTTTTTTATTTTAAAAGCTATTAAGCTATTTTTAAGATGAACATCTGAAAGTAGGCTATCATGTTCAAATTACTCGATCACGCTACTACCCCACAGTAAAAAAAAATACACAGCTAACATCACAAAACACAGTATGAGTGTGTGATATTTTAGGATACATTACAGGATTGTTAACGGATTCTTTTTTCCCTCTTTTGATAGCTGATTCGGCTTTTTTTGATGATATCTGCCTGATATCGATACCCATAAATTCTGATGCACTGTCTCTAATGCAGATGCTTTTGTGCTCTCGAAAGCAATAGAGTAGCTTGTATTTTGTTGCCCTGGTAACATTCCATTCATGGGACACTGGATGCTTTATCTGTGTCTTCTTCTCAAAGGTGTTAGCTGCTACTCCCGCAACCTGGATTACAGTCATATGCGGAAGATAGCAGATGAGAATGGGGCTTACCTCCTGGCTGACATGGCGCACATCAGTGGACTTGTTGCAGCTGGAGTGGTTCCGTCCCCCTTTGAGTACTGTGACATTGTTTCCACCACTACCCATAAGACCCTGAGGGGCTGCAGAGCAGGGCTCATCTTTTACAGGAAAGGTCAGTTCTTTATGGGGAAAAAATGTGTTTGCAATGTGAAAGTTGGTCTGCTTATGTTTAGTGTGACACAGTGCCTTTGATCTGTTAGGGGTGCGCAGTGTGGATGCCAAGACAGGAAAGGAGACTCATTACAACCTGGAGAGTTTGATCAACCAGGCAGTGTTTCCTGGACTGCAGGGAGGACCTCACAACCATGCCATTGCAGGTAACCACATTATATGTTTGTTTAAGTGTAAAGTTTAGAATGAAGTTTGGATTAAATTGATGTCTGAATAATGTGCACTATGCCAGTGTGTCTTGCTGTTTTTAAAATGGCGCTCCTTTCTTTTTGCATTCCAGTACGTCATGATTAGTTTTAGAAGATCTGATGTCAGATGAGTATACAAAGTAACATGCTTTAGGCAGGTTCCAGCATAGTTTTTAATTTTTGTCACTTCAAAGAACTGTCAAAATAACCTTATTTTTGTAACACAGGAACATTAATGAATTCCTCCAAATATTTATATTTATATTCCTCCTGTATATTTAACCTCTTTAACTCAGGCACACTTTGTCATATTCTATACTTTATAACTTTTGTATTTCATAAGCTACATTCAAAAGGTGGGTGTCATATGAGAGCTGTAACTGTCTTCTTTCCGGTCAAATAGATGGGTAAAGTCATTTTAAAACTTTATTATAAAAGAAGCTGAACTCACAAATGTTCTTCTCTACTGAAAGTTGACCCCCATCAATTCTGAGCTATAAACTGGATATCAGATGGAGTCTCTTCAGGGATATGCACTGTGAAAAATTATGTTTATAAACAAATACTAAGAGCATCTGAGATTTTTGGCTTTCAGCAGTAAATTATAAGCATCTGGCATTATGTTTCTGATCATAAAACACATTTTCTGTTAATTTGAGGGGAGCTCAAAAAAAACCCCCACTACATTTATTTCATGCAGTTAATTGAATAATTTGCCTTAAGATTTGCGCATGTAAATTCAGATAGAAAACCCAAAATATACCCATGAGCATAGCTGGTTAAATGCTTTATTTTCGTAATATCTGGCTAGCGCGTTACTAACACATTACGTAAGTCATACTAAGAAACAGTACCAACTGTTCTGCAGTTTTAGTTTGTGTTCATTGTAAATTGATATGAATTCTACAACCACTAGGTGGCATGAAGTTGCTACTCTGACATTTAAGCTGGGTTTTAACAGCCTCGCTTTAGATGTAAATTCAAAAGTCAAAATACAAAATTTTACTTCTGCAGTCACCAGAAGGATGTGGAAGATATTTCTGCTCTGTAGTTTCTCCTTGAAATTACATAATGCATTTAAAAACTGTCAATAACAACTGGAAATACAGTGGTATAGGGGAGAAGGGGGTGTTGAAAGCTGATAGACAATTCCTTTAAAGAGAAACACTGCATTCTTTGAATTGCATTTCAGTTAAATGTGACCTAATTTATGGAATTTGATGTATAGGAGTGGCTGTAGCGTTGAAGCAGGCGTTGACACCAGAGTTCAAGGCCTATCAGTTACAAGTGCTGGCAAACTGCAAGGCCTTGGCAGCTGCTCTGATAGAAAAGGGCTACAAAATTGTCACTGGTAAGTTTTATGTTAATTATTTACCATACAGCAACAGATGTGACAGAGACCTTGCATCACAGAAATGCTTATCTGATGGGACAATCCATTAAATACCACTGCGATGAGCAGTGTGTGCAGCTCATTCCATTCCTTTACTAAAGTTATTTAGTAATGAAATATGTTTAAAATGTTACTGCTTAAAAATCAGGGTATGATTTCCTTGATTACATGGGGGCAGGCACTCTAATAAGATGGTGTCTTAAAGTCTGTAGTAGAATGCTAGTCCAGCCGTCACATATTCCATGAGGACATTTGGATCGAGCTCACTTTAATGGTGGAAATTAGAGTGAGCTCTGTACAGGAGTACGAGAATTTTCAGTGATGGGGTGGTAAATTCTGGATAGTCAAGCTTTTGTAGTTTGATTCACTTGGTGAAAAGTAGACGAAGGTGCTTAGAACTGTTCAACCTTTTCTCAATACATTTTTATGAAGTTGTTTAGAAATTTGAAATGAAGAGGGTGATCTGCCAAGAAAAAGCTGTGCAAAGTGTGCCTTGTAAAAGTGCCTTTGCTTCTGGATTCAGGTGGCTCTGATAATCATCTGATCTTGCTTGACCTACGTCCAAATGGAACTGATGGTGGGAGGGCAGAGAAGGTGCTGGAGGCCTGTGCCATCGCCTGCAACAAGAACACCTGCCCAGGTCCAACCTCACAGATAACTTGTTTTGTTTGTTTTTGTAGGTTGTAGAAGATCCAAAATAACTTAAGAATAAGTGGAAGCTACTGGGAGCTGGGAGTATGACTCCTGACGTTATTCATTATCATTAGCATTTTTTAGCTGAAGTGTTTCAGTGTCCTAGTTGTTGTGTTAACATACTGTACTCAGCTGTTAACTTACACATAGTAAAAGGGCTCATTTAATGAGATTGTAACATGTAAATATAGTTAAAGTTTCAAAACATACATTTCACTTCCTAGACCATACAAGCCATAAAAGGAAACTAGGCTGCAAAAACGGCCCATTTTAATATCACTGTTATTGTGATGTCACAAAAATCAACATATATCAACTTGTTCAGCCTGCAGAATTTTAGCTCTGCCAGTTCATGCTGAAGTTAGAAGTAGTTTTTTCAGTCTGGACTGCTTTTTGAATGAACAGTTGTTTTATATGTATTTGTCTTAAAGGCACAGTAACAAAAAAAAATCCTGTTTAATTCTAAGGAATAAAGAAAGGTTGGAGTATGGTCATGTAAAAATGAATTGATTTGATATAGGATATGGACCTTTTAATACATGTGCAATACAGTTAATAATACTATTTTACAGTGAAGTTTCTTAATCTTCTTTTCTTTGTGCCTGTATGTAATCTTTTGTAATACAGGTGATAAGAGTGCCTTGCGGCCCAGTGGTCTCCGTCTTGGCTCTCCAGCACTCACATCGCGAGGCCTAGTGGAGAAAGATTTCCGCACAGTTGCAGAATTTATTCACAGATGTGAGTTAATTGCATTTTGTAGCACGACATTATTTACAAGGGTAAGATTTACAGTTCTACATGCATAAATACATTTGTATTTTCCTGTTTTGTTGTAGGTATTCAGTTAACTTTGGAGATCCAGAAGAACATGAATGCCAAAGCCACTCTGAAGGAGTTCAAGGAAACATTGGCTCAGGATGAGAAATACCAAAACAGACTTAAAGAAATCCGAGAGGAGGTTGAGGCTTTTGCTGCAAAATTCCCCATGCCTGGACTGCCAGAGCTATGAGTCTGATACTCTTGCTCTGTTCTTGTACCTAAGCTTTACTTTCTTTAAGTAAGTCTTTAAGCTTTACAGGCCGCTTGCCTGGTGAGTTCACAGATTTTACTGTCAAGTCTGCATTTCATTCATTTCAAATTATTTCTTGTAGAAATGTGACAATTTATACAGTTATTATTTTGGACACAATAGAGGTTTTGTGCTTTCCCTCAGGCTTCATTATTGCAATCAGTTTTCTGGACACCTGTTTTGTCAAATCTTTTTATTCTGTGAACTCTACCATGCATGCGGAGATAGTCACTCAGTGGGTTGATATGCCATCTAACTCAGGCCAAATTAATTGATGATTAATAAAGTCAAATGTTGCAAGAATGGTCCCAAGTGTGGAGGTCACATTGTGACTTGATACATAATAGCTCTACCAGAGTAGTAGCATGTATGTATGTATGTATGTATGTATGTATGTATGTATGTGTGTGTTATATCGCTGTTGTCGGAAGAAAACCTCCTATCTCGAAAATGGTAACTTTACAGGAGAAGGAAAAAACTTACTTTACTTTTAAAGTCAATGGAACCAGACTTTTTTCCCCAAATAATTTTGGGTCGTTTCTTTTGGCCCAACCATCATGAAATTTACAGATGTAATGTAAAGGCTAACAGCTATTTTCATTTTTTTCAGGGTTACAGGGATACAAGGTTTTGTTCCAACAGTGGAGATATAAAAAAAAATTACTTATAGTTGTAATATTGAGCTAGGCTCTAATTAGGGGTGGGTAAAGCAAAAGAAATGGAGGATACTCAATGATATGCATCACAATTTTTGTTTTCCTGAGGTTTGTAAGTTGAAACAGACAAAAAAGAACGACTGGTGCCACATTAAAATCAAAAACTGAATGTAATGATTTTTATACAATTGCTAGTCTGCATTGCATTAAACTCTTTTAAACAGGACCACCTCTCTGTGAAAGTGTGGGTGCCCCTGGCCAAATTACATGTTTTGTTTATTTTCTAAGTGAAAATAAGTTAACACTTATCTTCTACACCGCTGCACATTTTAATTATAGTTTATTTGATTAACATATTGGGGGGGAAATATGTTTGCCAGTGTAAAAGTTTTTTTTAGATTTTATGTTTATTTTTTCCCAATATGTTAAAAATAAATGGAAATGGTGCATTATAATTTGTAGAAAAAAGCTGTTTTTTTCTGTAGAAATGGAGTTAACTTATTTTCACTTTACAGAATAAACAAAACGTAATTTGACTGCATACGACTGCATGCTCTTTCAATAAAAGAGACAACAATATGCTCAGAAAAGATAACAATAAATATCGTCATGTTACCCAGCCCTAGCTCTAATACTGACATGCCATTAAATGCCTTGATTATGTTAATTGTGTTAGATTACTGCTGAAACAACACATGAGGCACTAGCTTTACAGTTTGGTTGGGCATCCATAGTTTATATTATTCTAAGAAAGTTGGTCTTGACAAACTTGTATGAGAGATATTTTAATGAAACTCAAAGGCAAGAAACAGAGTGGGCAACAACTTAATGCATTTGGATCACCCCCAATATTCACTTATACATCCACAAATCACTTTCAATAAAGATAACAGCTTACCGCACCTCACACAAAATCACAATACTTTCTAAACACATACTCAGCGAGCAACACTCTTCCAGGCTTGTTTCAGACAACAACTGATGTGAAAGAAATTTTGTTCAAATACACAGCATCTTAATAGACACTGTGCACATTATGGTATGGCTTCTTGTTCACATTCGACTGAATGCATATAATATCTGTTTCGGACGATTCTTCACAGAGGCTATTGACTGATTACAAATAGAAAGTAATATATATAAAATGCAACTGAAAGTGGTGGCAGTCTGTGTGAATCTGTGTGGGACAGACTGCCATGCAGTAGTGAGAAGAACAGTAACGGGAACAAACTGTTTTTTGGCCATCGCCACCATTACTTGGTAACTCCTCATTTTGATTGTGATTCTTAATCAACATTATAAAGTGCCACTCCATCCAACAACACTTACTCATGCTGACATTTGCACACAACATAGAGACAACAGATTATATCAGGCTGAATGGTATCCACATGTGAGATACAAATGGATGTGGCTAGGAATGCCACCATGTCGTTAGTCTTCGTATTCTCCAAACATGCAGAACGTCATGTAACATCTCAACTATGTGACATTTTTCCATGCAGTACATTCTTTTACTTCAGTACATAATAGGTTAAAAACACGCAAATGGCAGTTGGTCACTTGGCTCTTGTTCGCCTAAAATCCCAGCAGTCTATTGCAAATTCCTATTCAGATACATTGCCTAGTTGCCTTTACAAAACCTTATAGTAGAGTAGGTATAATGAAGATATTGTAGTACACAATTAGAGGGAAACCACTAGTTTTTTTGCATGTATGTCAGTATTAATCATTAATCTGTAGATTATTTTACAGGCTTAGATTGCAAGCATCAGGAAGTCTTTAGATCTTTGCTTTTGCTAGTAGATGACAATTATTGTCAATATCATACAGAGGTTTTTTTTATGTTTATATTCAAAATTGCAATGACATGTTAAGGAGATACAAAATACTGCTATGTACTCCATCTGGTGAAATGCTGAAATATTTTTCAAGCAGAAAATTTTCTGATGAAAGCAGAAGATAACAAATTTCACAAATCCATCACCTATTCATCACTGCTGGTCACCTGTTCTGATGGGCTGATTCTACTCTTCATTGGAATATCTGTAAGCAAGTCACTATTTATTCATTTGGTAATTTAACCACTTCAGTTTGGTAATTCAACCACTTTCAGTTTTACAGTACATTCTCCAGTGGAAAACAGATTCTGTTCATAACCAAACGTGAGCCTTTATGGCTTTTTTAAGCCTATCCACATGTACTTATACTGTTATGAGTAAGTTCTAATCAAGAGTAGTCGACTTCCTAAGGATCTGCAAACAAAACAAGAACCAAGTTGATCCTTCAGCAAAACAGACCTTTCCTTTAAAACTTTGGGAAAATGTGGCAAAGCTGTAAACTGCACAACACAGAAAACAATTCAAGACCACATTGGTGATATCAGGCTGTCCATTATGGCCTTATTGGTTTGTGTGGAAAAAAGAACAAAAAAAAACAAAAGAAAGATAACAATCTAATACATTCAACATAGTTTGGTCTCCTGATTTTAGCAGAGATGAAGTGGACGAAAAGGCATAATATGATATGAAACCACCAAAAACATCAACAAAAAAGGGCACATTCGTATTCAGATTTTGTACAAATAGCTGGTGGTGTAGTTGAAACTGAAGAAAGACTGACTGACCCCTTTTAAAGGCCCCTGAAGGAAATGCTGCTTGATGAGCTCACTTAGGAATTGAATTATTTTACTCTCCTCCTCAGTGTAGCCAAGTTGCAACAAAAAGTTAGTCCTGCGTAACGTCACAGAACTGTGGTCATCTGCAGTTATGGGCAGGTGAACATGATGGCAGAATGTGTAAAGGAAAGCCTTAGCTGTAAGCTGAGTCAACATGCTCTGCACGTGGAGATAGTAGGTGCTGCCGCGTTTGATCTGAGTCCTGTGGTCCGCCATGTGATTTATTAGTGTTCCTTTGTAGGGCGGGCATCGCAGTGTCTTGTTGTCACAGTCCAGGATGCCGATGTATCGGCTGTAGCGGTTCAGGGAATGCAGCATATTGGAACCTGCCGGTGAAGCAACCCTGGAAAACAAGAATGAGAAAAAAATGTGACACATTTATGCATTTGCCAGACACTCTTACGTAAAGCTGTTTTAGCATATTACATAGGTAGGCAAAGGTAGCATTAGGAGTCTTGCCCAAGGACTCTTAGGGAGCTTACACACCAGACACAGCAAGATTAGAGAGATTACACGCAAATGCATGCAGATCTTGTTCATCCTGTGTGTGACTGGCTAGAGCAGGGATAAGGTTTGTACAGTTCAAATTTAAGTAAGCAAATCAGAACTGTCTTGCCTGTCCACACGTTTTCATTGGTTGACATATTCTATGTCAGAAATGGAGCTGACACTCAATGTTGCATCTTTTCTCTGCATACAGGCACATTTTCTAGTCCAACAGAAATAACGCAGCATTCTAACATGAATACACTGAACGAGCTGTATTTTTGATGCTGCATTAGCTTCAACTGTACAGGCATCCTTACTGCTGTAGTGTGGCGTGCTTGCCTAGGAACCCCAATCTGCTGCATGGAGGGCAGTGGTATTACTCGCTACACTACACCAACCACTGTCTTATGATATGACATATTACATATTGTCGCTGTCAAAACAAAACCTTGTATCTCCAAAATGGCAACTTTACAAGAGTAGAAAAAAAACTTTCTTAACTTTCAATGGAAGTTCATGGAGAAATTATTTATTCTAAGTATTTTTGGAGGATTTCTGTTGGTCCATTCATCATGAAATTTTGACACAAGGTGCAGCTGGCCATTTTAAATTATGTCAAAAAATGAAATATTACAAAAATGGAGACTTTTGTCCTGACTGTGAATATATACACATATGCACACTCAACATACTCGTTACTCTTCATGTTGTTTTTTTGAGTACATCATACATATTTCCTTACAATCTACTGATGTGGCTGTGGCTGATGTGGCAATGTACTATTGAACTTGACTTCTTCATACCTCTGTAGTCCAATAAGTTTCCATCTCTGAAGGTCAGTCAGTTGAAATGATGTGGAAAGCCAAGGCTGGACTGTTTCACCATATTTCCCAAGGTTGGGTACAAAAATCGACAAGGCATTCACCAGTTTCCTTACAGTTCCCTCCTCGGTTCCAAGAACAATGAGCGTTCGGCCACTCAGAAGACAGAATATGGCTTGCTGTGCAAACGGGTATTGCCTGATGAACCGGAGAGCACTGTGACCTGCTTTCTTCTTGTGCTTCAGCGTGATTGGACCGCCGTAGGTGAAAGGTGACACTGCTCTGTCAGAGCTGGTAGAGGTGCTCATGTAACTGGTGCTATCAGAGAGATCCTCAACATTCATTCTAGACATCTCCTCAGAGAGAGCATTGGTGTTCAGCTCAGAAAGCATCAGGTCCATACCTGCGCCTACAGTTAACGTTGACTCGTCATAGTCCACCTGCAGAGCAGGATCCCCCTGCAGTAAGGACAGAGGCTCCTGCTTGACCACTGTGTCATCACAACATGCCTGTAGAGGCTCAGGCCGAGGTTCCTCATAGATAAAACCATCCTGTCCCATACAGCAGGCTGTGTCCATTTGGACCAGACTCTCAGTTTCAAACACATCAGTAGTATTCATATTCGCTTCACGTTCTAGTGAAGATGATGTCTTGTCAGCAGCAGCAGTGGGGGTAACTTCTTGTTCCTCCGATGATGTCACAGTGCATACTTCATTGATGCTCCTCCTCGCAAAACCATCAGGATTTGCAGGACTAACATTTCCAAGTGCTTCAATACTCCGGTCACTGCTAAAACTCCCTTTTGTCTCAGTGTCGATAGCATCTTCAGAGGTTTCCTGTGTGATGTCAGATATACTGGACTCTTGAGGTCCTTCCATAGATTCAATCTCCAGCTTATTGTGACCTATCTCTACACAAGTGGTGTACGACTCAAGACTCATTGGCTCAGTGGATAGAATGGACGGTGGTACATTATGTGTGGCATGGTTTGTGTCATATAAATTCCTTGAGCTTCCCTCTTCTTCCCAGTCTCGCTCCTCCTCAAAGAGAAAACTGGTGATTTTCTGTTTACCTAAAAGAGCCCGGTCAATCTGGCTGGTATAAATAAAGCAAAGATCTCCTCTAAATGTCTTTTCAATTAAATTTAATTGGTCCATGGTCTGGTGAAAA